TGTGTGTGCATAAATACACTTGCATATGTTTTTTATTTTTATATTTGTAAGTTTCTGGAAGGTTTCATGTGCTATACAGTGGTGTGAGAAGGGTAGAAAGACCCCACTTCAGAAGCCAGTAGAAATTAAAAGCATGGATTCTGGAGCCAGCCGGCCTAAGGTCCAGTCGTAGCTCCACCACTTCCAAGCTATATGACCTTGGGCATTATTTAACTTTCATGTCTTAGTTTTCCAAACTGTAAAATGGGGCTGATAATAGTACTTTCTCTCATGGATTTATTGTGAGGATTTATTGAACTAATAATATGTAAAGTATTTGGTAAAGACCTGATTCATAGTAAACAAATAGTAAATACCATTCAGATGCTTTGCCAGATAGTTTCACAGGCATGTTGCAGCATGTTAAAGAGTGAGTGGGGTGTGAAACAGTTTAAATAGGATCGACTTTTCATTCAAGAAGCTTGGTGGGCAGAAAGGAAGGTGAGGGTCATACAGAAAAAGTTGGTCATCAAACTATGATCAGAGACCAGCGTTTAGTTTGTGCTTCAGATCCAGTGTTTCTTCTCACTAGACTTCAGCTTTTTCTAAAAGCTAACTACAGAGTTGGGAAGGATTATTTTTGGTCTTATAATGGAACATTTGACCTTATAAATTAGCACTTGGAGAAGCTGAAGATTCTCAGGCTACCCCATGAGCCATGAATTAAGTGCGATTGAGTAGGGGGCGGTGTATTGGTTGGTGGTTGGGTTTACTGGTTGGTAGATGGATTTACTAGTTGGTGTTCTACAAGTAGAAGTTCAAGATAAAACAGACAAAATGAAGAACTCTAAGATGTTAAAAAGTCTTTGTATTGTAGAAGACAGTTTGGTATTTCCTAAGAAAATTAAACGGGATTACTATATTACCTAGTGATTCTACTCCTAAGTATATACTCAAGAGAACTGAAAACAGTTGTTCAAATAAAATCTTGTGCATAAATGGTCATGGCAGCATTATTCATTATAGCCAAAAAAAAAGGAAACAACTCAGATATTTATCAACAAAATTAGTTAAATGATAAACAAAATGTATATCTATACAATGAAATAGTATTCAGCCATGAAAAGGGATGAAGTTCTGATACCTGCTACAACTTGGATGAACCTTGAAAATGTTATGCTAAGTGTAAGAAATCAGACTCAAAAAGTCACATATTGTATAATTCCATTTATATGAAATGTCCAGAATGGGCAAGTCCATGGAGGTGGAAAGTAGAATAATGGTTGCCAGGGCCTTGCAGAGGGCAGAGTGGAGGGCAGAGTGACTGCTTCATGTATATGGGGCATCTTTTCAGGGTCATGAAAATGTTCTGGAATTAGATAGTGATGATCATTGCACAACATCGTGAGTGTACTAAAAGCCACTGAATTATATGTATACTTTTAAATGGTTAAATGATTAAGTTTACCTCAATTAAAATAAATTGCTGTTCAGCAGCTCGTCCTTGTCTTGCTGGCCCATAAAATTAGTTAAGTTTTATGCTGAGGCTAGTTTTACAGGGTGCTAAGTAACACAAAAAAGGAGGAAAGTCTTTTCTCCATAGGAATTACATCAGTATTTTTAAGGATATATTTTTGTTCATGAATTTTTTTTTAGTTTTTGCTTCACACCTGAGTTCTAGTCTTAAAGCTGCTAAGTGACTTCTCGGTGACTCCAGGAAGTCACTTATGCCCATTTTGGGTTGTTCCGATCCTTTTCTTTTGGTCATTTTCACAGTTTCTTCTTTGAAAAATGAAAGAAAGAAAGAAAGAAGAGACTATCTGAATGAGTTTAATCTTCTAACAATAAATTATGAAACAAAAATTTATAATATTGGATTTTTGATTTTAAAAGAAGCATAGCCATGTTGAAAGCCACTGTCAATTTTAGACATTCATTAGAAAGTTATTTTTGCATGGTGGAGTATGAGGAGTCCATAACAATCAATCTATTTTAAAAACAACAAAAATAGCTTAAAAAACTTTCTTCCCCCAACCCCTAAACTAAGAGCAGCCATACAGTGGCATGTGCAGTGGACCTTAATCATAGTACTGCCCTTGGTTCATCCTGTAGGGTTACATGCAATGGCCAGATAGCATAGTGTTCCTGGTAATTACAGCCCTCTGGCCAGACCAAACCTGGCACATGATTCTTTGTGGTGGCCTCTTGTGTGTGCTGCTCGGGTTCTCCAGAGTTATCTAAGTGATCTGTCTGTCTGCCTTTTAAGTCTCAGCTATCCCTGCTGGATAATCATTGGATTTGAGATCTGGGGGTTAGAAACTATGAACTTCCTTAATAGCAAGTTTTGGAAGTTTGAGGTCAACCATAATCTTTCATCTTCTTTTTTAAACCTTCGGGAAAATAGTATATCAGTGATGAGCAACCTTCTTATAAATGTCTTTTATAAAGTTAAGAAAAAATGTGAAACCCTTTCTCAGCTTTCTTATTTCCTCAGTTTCTTTTAGCTATTTTTAATCATTATTCTTTGAAAAGGAAGACATTTGGTTGTACTACAGTACTACAGTTAGGTTCTAAGTGTGTCTAAGAATTTTTGATTATTTTATGGATATAGTTTTTTAAATGAGATTTTTGGCTGTAAGCATTTCTGGTAACTTAAAAAAAAAAAGAGCTCTCAAGGGTAAGGATTATTTTGTGGTTTTCAGAGTTTTCCAGTTGGAAACTGGAAACTGAATTTTAAAAAAGTATGTAATTTTTTGCGTATAGCCTTTTCTATGAGATTAAGATGGATTATTTTGGAAAAGCTTTATTTTCCCAGCCAGAAAATGGCATGATGCTTTCAGGGATGAACTTCCATGAGGAAAAATTACCATAAACTTAATAACAGGTATTGTTCGGAGTATGGCTAAGTGGATAATCAGCAGACAAATCATAGGTTCGTGGGGATTTTTTTCCTTTTGAATAGTCTTTTCTGTTCATAAAGTGAATACATAATGAGAGACATATTTGTCTCTCATTAACTATAGTTGTGTTTTTCTATATGTTTAGATTCTGATTTGTGATATTTAAAATAACCATTGTTGATACTGATAGATTTCATTTTGAGGCTTTTCAGTTTTAAGTGACTCCTTATCAATCTACTTTTTCAATTGAGAGTTAATAGAAGGGTAATTATTTTTGGTTGACCCAATAACGTTTTCTCATTGAGTTTTAGTTGTCATATAGGCAAAATAATATATACATATTTTATATTGGAAAATAAATTGTTCTTTTTCATTTTTCTGTTGGAGTATTGCTATACTTCTCCAATTATATTTCACTATTATATACCTATAAAATAATAATGTATACCACAACATGTATCATTTGTTTGAATGTAAGTTTTTTATTTTACTTTTGATAATCTTAAAAGGACTTTAATTTGGCTCTGGGTGCTGAGTGTTTCTCTTTCTGTAGCCTTTCCCTCTAGTGTCCTCTTCCCGGTGGTTGGTAAAGAGAGGTGAGTTGACAGCCTACGTGGAAGACACCGTGCTTTTTTCCAGAAGGACATCCAAACAGCAAGTCTACTTCTTTCTCTTTAACGACGTGCTCATCATCACCAAGAAGAAGAGGTAAGCCTTTATGTGGTATTGCTGGCCGTGCATCCAGTTTTAAATCTCTGTAATTCAAATGTCTTTCACAAGTGTGATCATCCTTTCAAAGCCTGAGGTGTTTGATGTATAGTTTCTATATGTGGAATCATGGTAACATCTTTGCTTCATTTTCTTTAAATTACCTGTGCAGTTAAGACTCAAATCATTCTCAGAATCATCATTCTAGCCAGCCTCTATGGAGCTCTTACAGTATGCCAGCCAGTGTTCCAAGCATTTTACACATTGATGTCCTTTAGTTGTAATGACATCACTAGGGAGGCAACACACTTATTATTCCCAATAGGCATTTTTCAAACTTCTTTTCTGTAGAAAATGTATAAAACAGATAAAAGTTGCTTTAGTTGAGAATAAGCTGGGGCACAAGTCTAGTGCTCCTTTTAATTTAATTTAAAATCCACCACTCTTAATGACTCTTGGTCTAAACCATTTATTTCCTTGTGACTGGGAGGGTGTTAGCAGTACTCCAGTACTTCCTTCTTAAGAGAATAAAGTAAATCAGTTGGTTGTCAGTGTGTTTATTCCTCTTACTTCAGACTTTTGGTATGTATTCGTGTCTCGAGACATTCAGGAAGAATATGGTACAAGCCTTTTTTTTACAGTGTTATAACTGCCTCCATTCAACACACAGACACACACGAATATGGTACAAGCCTTTTTTTTACAGTGTTATAACCGCCCCCATTCAACACACACAGACACACACACACACACACACACACCCCTCAGCTCTGCTTTTCTCTAGGAAACATTATTAATTGTACTCAACATACGTGAGATTGTGAAATATTTTTCTGCTGATCCTTCATAAATATTTTATTTTTCCTAGAAGATGAACTTAGAGAAAAAAATGTAAATCTGTGTGGTGTGTTATTTCCACATGTGAAGACAATGCTGGTGGGCTGAATTGCTGGCATATAATAGCAGTAAGGGTAGTCCATGGGGTACAAGTTAGAGAAGATGAAGAGAATCATGGAAACAGGCTTCTATGAATATGTGAAATCAGTGTCCAAACTTATCAAGAGATATTTATTTAAATTCTACTTCTGAGTGGCTGACATTTTAGCTGGAAAATTCAAACTAAATTGAAACAGAGGTTGAGCTTTTCTTTTTGCTCCTTTTAGTCAGACTGTATTATGAACGATTTTAGCTGCTTGGCTGCCTCGCTAAAATGAAAACTTTGGTCTACCCTGAAAAGCCATAATACAACTATAATAAATACAAAAAAGGTGCTGATGATTATTTTTCATACTTAGGAAAATAATGTTTCCATAACTTTAAGAAGAAATTATTTCTCTTAGTTGTGGCAGTTTAAATTGTTCTAGTAGCTAAGTAAATTTTATAAATAAAGATTGGAGAGGCAATATAATTTGTACTTTTATGTTTTGTTTGTTTCCTATGAGATAGCATGTTTCTTTGGCTTTCTTTGAGATGTTTTGATTTTAGGGGAGAGTAATGATATATGACTCTTCAAATGCCAGAACCCTTGGCTTTTAACATCTTCCAGCTGTTGAAATTTTTTTTTTTTCTCAGTGGACCAAAAGCTTTACTTAAACTTTCAATTTTAATGATAAAATATACCAAACCAATTTTAAATACAAATGTAGTTTTGATCATGATGTCTTCAGTGACTTGATGAAACCATTAAGGGCATTTAAATTAGTATAGTACCACTTTTATTCTTGAACTTGCACAGACTTTTGAAAGTTAGAATTAAACTATATGCTATTCTGCTTAGCAGCATCCTTTGCCCTCCAGAGATCTGCCATTGCTTTTAATATTGCTTTCCTAGCTATTCCACATTTATTTACTCAGGTATGTTTGAACTTGAATTATATTAAAAGAAAGAGCAAAATATGCAGCTCCAGGGGAAAGGGCCATCTGAGTACCTAATTTTGCCTTGACCCAAACTGGAATTTTCTTGCCCTTACGATTAGCTCATCATGTTTCTGAGGTGCTCTTGACTCGGAGAATGGCATTGGAGGCTCAAGTTGTTTATGACCTGAATATGTGGCGAGGGTGACAAGCAGAACACGGAGGCTTGACAAACAGGCTTGGTTAAAAATGTACAGTATGCACAGCCGTATTTACTCTGCAGCTTCAAGGAGGCAACTGCAAATGCTTCACATGCCAGAGGCAGCAGCAAAGGAGATACAACAGCTTTGAATAAGGCAATAATTTAGGCTTGGCTACCAGGTACAGATTAAGGATAATACTTGTGCCAGCTCTGTAGGATGGATCCAACCATGCACTGCCTAATTGTAATTCTAGGGTTCAGTCGAGGAGCTTAGCTACCGGGTCTCCAGCTTTAGGGAGGCTCCCTGGCTGTGGAGAGAGTCAGCCTGGGAGAAGACTTACTCTTCCTCAGTGGATGGTTCAGGCTAAGCATGTTCCACCAAATACATGGCTAGGGTATTTGGCTACCTCAGTTTTACAGTGTGCGTATTACTGCTAGTGCTTGCAGAGCGGTTAGTGACCACAGAGCTGTCTCTAGAACAGGACTTTTACTTTTTTTAAGACTATCAAAAGGGAGTTTAAAGTTTCTATTAGCTTTGGGCTGGTTGTGAGTCACTGTATTAATAGTTTCTTCTAGCACATTTCAAAAGGATACATGATCAGTTTGACTATTTTGGATGAGAAAGTGAATTTTTTGGTAGCTGATGCTTTGATTGCAGATTACCTGGGTACTTCTAGAGCAGAGTTCTCAATTTAGACTGACAATTCTTTGTTATGGGGCTGCCCTGTGCTTTGTAGAATGTTTTAGCAGCATCCTGGTCTCTACTCACTGTTTGATGGTAGCACTTTCCTCCCAATTGTGACAACCAAAAACGTATTCAGACATTGTCATATGTCCCTAGGGGGCCAAATTGCCTCCAACTGAGAACCAATATACTAGAGTGATGGCAACCTGCCAACCAGCATTATCTTGAGTAGCAAAGGTATGCAAATCTATCAGACCTCACACGGCCATAATCATAATATTGTAAAAAAAAGGAATAGATTGCCATGTTGTACTCAGACTAATGAACAATACGTCATTATAATATGCAATCTGTGCCTAGAATTAACTTATCTATAATTATTCGCAGTATACAGTCTATACCCCACATCCAACCTTAGGGATTGAGTACTGTTGCCCTTAGTTTTGAAATGTGAAAGCTGAACACAAGATCTAAATAAGTTCAGACTCCCAAAATACTTACTTCGTAAGGTAGTTAACTGTCTTAGTCTCATTCAGTGCCTTGTATCTGGCTTACGTCTTCCCTCTCAACTTCTTCTACAGCTAAAAATAGTTTTCCTCCCTGTATTAGTTTCTTACAGCTGCTGTAGCAAAGTACACAAACTAGGTGGTTTAAAACAATAGGAATTTATCGCCTCACAGTTCTGGAGGCAGATGTCTGTTATCAAGATGCAGCAGGGCCACACTCCCTCCGAAGGCTCGAAGAAAGAATCTTGCCTTGCCTCTTCCAATGCCTGGTCACTTCTGGGTTCCCTGGCGTGTAGCAGCGTAACGCCAACCTCTGCCTCTGTTTTCACGTGGCTTCTTCTCTCTCGTGTCTCTGCATCCTTAAAATCTTCTCCTTATAAGGACACCGCTTACTGGATTTAGGGCCTGCTCTACTTCCGAATGATCTCATTTTAACTTGATTACATCTATGAAGACCTTATTTCCAAATGAGGTCACATGTACATGTACCAGGGGTTAGGACTGCAACACGATTTGTTGGAGGGCATAGTTCAGTCCAATGCCCTCCCCCCGCCCTTTACCCCTACCTCGCTTAAATGTGCTGTAATGTTTTAATCTAGTTCTAGAGTACACTTTTATTTTTAAACATTTTTCATAATTTCAGAATGTCATTGTGGTCATGTGACTTGAGCACCTCTATTTGGAGGTCTCATAGGTTACCTTCATCCAAATCTCCTTCAAATCTGTTCCTTCGCCAGGGTCTATTTCTTCCGTTGTAAAAATAAAAAGGCACTCTGTTTATCTGGTTGTTCCACAATAAACCTGAAAGACCACTTTGACTCCCATTTTTCACTGTGCTTCCCTATCCAGCCAATCATCAATCTAGGCAGCTCTGACATTGCCACTGCCCCTGTACCAGCCTTCTTGAATTTGCCATAAGGCACACCTAACTGTGGAGGTGCCGGAGACAAATGGGGCAAGACCGAATTGTGTAGCTTTATGGTTGCAGATGGCTCCTGTAGGTCCAGGCATCATGATTTCATTCAGAGACATAGAAGGGAGGCAAGGATGAGAACCAGAGGCTGACCGAGGGGGCTCTTTCCTTAACTGCATTTTCTTTTTTATCAGCAGAGGAAAACTTCCCAGACAGGCCCCAGAAAACTTCTATCTGGTAGGTCAGCCCTGGATCTTAAGACTTTTTGTCTTAAGAGAGGCTGGGAAAGCAAGCACATAACAAAGGAGAACAGGAGAGCGTTAATTGCTGTGGTTTAGCCCTGATGCATCCCCTGGGGCTGGGCACTTTGGGACTTGATTGGCAAGAAGCAGAGAAGGCTGGCAGCTGATTAGATAATAGCCAGTTCCAGCCACAACTAGGAAACCCTCTTTCCCACAGGACACCGATGAACTTACGATGAATTTGAGAAACAGGAAGAGCTCTGTAAAAGAATTAATGCCTAGCCTTTAGGACAAATGGGAAGGGGAAGCATACATTTCAAAGGACACAGAAGTGATTGGAGATTTAGAGCCTACTTCCTTTTGGCTGGCGTTAGTCATCCAGCTGTGGTTCACTGAGCATCTCCTTAGTAGTTCCTTCTTGCTTCTACCAGGCCAGGTATGCCCTTCAGCACATTTGGAGCACACAGCTAGATGGGTCTGGTCTGGACGTGGGCACAATATCAAAAGAATGCTGAAATCTAGTCTAGTCTTATTATCTATTACAGTAAATGTTATCATGTTCCAATTTGTTTTCTCCTGAGTTCTCCAAATCACAAAT